TCAGAGGGGAGCAGCTAGCTGGGCTCTCAGCTCTTCCCTGCCTTGATACATGACCTTGGCAAGTCCCTTTCTTCCTTTCTTTCTATTTTTTATTTTTTATTTTTTTCTTGAGATAGTCTTGCTCTGTTGCTCAGGCTGGAGTTCAGTGGTATGATCTTGGCTCACTGCAACCTCCACCTCCCAGGTTCAAGCAATTCTCCTGCCTCAGCCTCCCGAGTAGCTGGGATTATAGGCACATGCCACCATGCCCAGCTAATTTTTGTATTTTTAGTAGAGATGGGATTTTGCCACGTTGTCCAGGCTGGTCTGGAACTCCTGACCTCAGGTGATCTGCCCACCTCGGCCTCTCAAAGTGCTGGGATTACAGGCGTGAGCCACCGTGCCCAGCCTTCCTTCCCTTCTTGAGTAGACATCAGCGCTTCAATGACGTCAGGGATCTCTGCTGGGGAGTATGCAAGAGTGAGCATGAGAGGCTGGGAGCGTGTGGGAGAGGGAAAGTAACTGCGTGTGCACAGGGGTGTGAGAGTGGGGAAGGTGAGAGTGAATCGTGATCTGTAATAAGCACGTGGAGATTGTGCACGTGACAGTGTCTCAAGTGGGAGTGCACGGGGTGTGGGCAGGAGTAAGAGGCAGAGTCCAAGTCTGCCAGCCCGCAGTGTGGGTGCAGCGTGAGCCCAGAGTGGGTGCCCTTTGGCAAGGACTGTGTGAGCTTTCTTCTGTCTCTTTTTCTTGCCCTCTCCCCCATCTCTTCTTTTCTTCTTTATACACACATATATATGTGTGTGTGTGTGTGTGTGTGTGTGTATGTATATACATATATATATCCCTCCCTCTGTCCATCTTGATTTATCTTTCTTTTTTTTTTTTTTTTTTTTTTTTTTTTTTTTTTGTAGAGACAGGGTTTCATCCTGTTGGCCAGTCTGGTCTTGAGCTCCTGACCTCGTGATCCGCCCGCCTCGGTCTCTCAAAGTGCTGGAATTACAGGCGTGAGCCGCCGCGCCTGGCCTATCTTTCTTTCTTTTGAGATGGGATCTTGGTCTGTTGCCCAGGCTGGAGGGCAGTGGCATGATCATGGCTCACTGCAGCCCCAACTTAATGGGCTCAAGTGATCCTCCTGCCTCAGCTTCCTGAGTAGCTGGTTAAAAAAAAAATTATTTTGTAGAGACAGGGTCTTGCTCTGTTGCCCAGGCTGGAGTGCAGTGGTGTGATCATGGCTCACTGCAGCCTCAACCTCCTGGGCTCAAGTGTTGTTTCCTCCTTAGCCTCCTGAGTATCTGGGACTACATGTCCCAATCACCACTCTGGCTAATTTTTAAAATGCTTTTGTAGAGACAGGGTCTTGCTGTGTTGCCAGGGTAGCCTGGAACTCCCGGGCTCAAGCAATCCTCCCATCTCTGCCTCTCCAAGTACTGGGATTACAGGCATAAGCCACTGCACCCAGCCCTTGGCTTGTCTTTCTTTTATTTTTATTTATTTATTTATTTTTAGGCGGAGTTTTGCTCTTGTTGCCCAGGCTGGAGTGCAATGGTGCAATTTCAGCTGACTGCAACCTCTGCCTCCAGGGTTCAAGCAATTCTACTGCCTCAGCCTCTTGAGTAGCTAGGATTACAAGCATTCGCCACTATGCCCGGCTAATTTTTTTGTGTTTTTAGTAGAGACGGGGTTTCACCATGTTGGTCAGGCTGGTCTTGAACTCCTGACTGCAGGTGATCTGCCTGCCTCGGCCTCCCAAAGTGCTGGGATTGTAGGTGTGAGCCATCGCGCCCGGCCAATTTATCTTTCTTTCTCCGTCTGTTTGAAACTCTCTGTATTAAGCGGTTAAATCTCAGTCACTCTTTATTCCACTGTGTCTCTCTGTCTCTACATGTCTCTGTTCTTCTGTTTCTCTGTCTGTTCTCACCTCTGTCACTCCCCTCACCCCAAACTCTGTCTCACACACACCAGGAGCTCCATAAATATTTGTTCTCAGCCACACTGACCGCTCCTCTTTCTCTTACATGTCTCTCCATCTCCAAGTGGCTCTGCTCATCACATCCCTGAATTGTATAACCATATGCTGGCGGGCTTGCCCTCCCTGCACGCACATACACTCGCCTCGGATAAGCTTCTTCTGCCTGCTTATCTCCTGCAGGAATTGGAAATGCTAGTTTTCTCCCCGCCTCCCTGAGATCTCCTGCCCCATCTCATTCCCCAGAAACCAGGTGAAGCATCTGGCTTGAGCCCCCAGCTTCATCCTTGATGCTGCCCTTCCCTCTTCCCTCACATGCTCAACTCCTTGCCCTCCTCCCACCTCCGCTCTCCCAACTGCCCCTTACACCCCCTGGGAAATGGGCTGGGTGCCCAGCTGAGCTGCGGGGGCGGCTCTGTCCTGGGGGCCCTCGCCAGATGGTGTCCCTAGGGGCCAGAGTGTGGAGCTGTCCCTTGCTGGAACCTTTAATTAGCACAAAGCTTCCACCCTCCACCTTGGCTGTTTTCCTTCTTCGAATGCTCCTGGGACTTTGGGTTCTCCATTTTTCCATGCCCAGAGCCCTAGAGAGACAGGAAGGGGAAGCAGTGTCAAGTGTCTGGAAAAACAGCCCGACTACTTGGGTTCCTCCCCAGGACTCAGGAGTTCTGGCCCCATGTTCATCCTATTTCAAAATCCAGGCACTAGACATTCCACATAGAAGCCAGGAGTGTAGGCCTCCAGATCCCTCCCTTCTCAGACCCTGGGATCTCAGTCCCTTCTCTCCAAGGACTCAGGAATTTGGGCCTCTGATCCTTCTGCCCACCCTACCAGCCCCTACACCTCCTCCTACACACACACACACACACACAGAGGACTTAGGACAGATGTTCACCGTCTGATTTCCAAATCCTCCTGGGCCTGTGTGGGGGTGGGGAGAGATTGGTGGTTAAATCCACTGACTCTAAGACTTAAGACCAGATATTCTGACCCCTGTCACCCTCTTCCAAGTGCACCATGCTGCAGGCAGGAGAACTAGGAACTGAGTCTCCAGCCTCTCAAGGAACCAGGGGATCAGGCCATCAGTGTCTCAGCCAGCAAAGGCCTAAACCACCAGTCCCTTACAATCCTGTAAGTCCAACCCCACCCCCAACCCCACCCCGCCATTTAGGGACGCAAGAGTTTGAGCCCAAGAACAGCCAAGAATCTGAATGTGGACCCCCCAGTTCCTACGGGTCCAGGAATGTCAGAGCAGGGTCCCAGCCCCCCAGCCCTCCTTCAGGCTGCTCGGGGTCCCTCCCACCTGCTCTGCCAGCTGCGCAGCGTGGGAACGCCCCAGCTGGGCTGCATGGAGCCGTCAGGACAAGCTGCGCGGTTCCCAGCCTCCCTGCCTGCCCCGGCCCTGCACGGCCGCCTCCCAGCCGTCGCCCGGCAACCAGGCCGAGGGGCCCGGCAGGCCCAGTGGGGAGAGGGGCTGGGTCGGGACTGCAGTGTCCTGGGAAAGGAGGGGCTGGGGGCCTGGATTCCTGGGTCTTAGGACATACTGCAGTTTGCAGCAGTTACAAGGGAACAGAGGGATATTTTGAGGAGGGATTTTGAGGCTGGGGGAGTCGAAACAGGGGTCCCAGCTGTCCCCCAGGCACTGGCATGCCCTCTTCCCGACCCGCAGGCCCGGGGGAGCCCCGGACCCCGCCTCCCCCAGGACGCGGATACTGGCGAGGCCCCAGGGGCTCCCATTTATAGCTCGGTTTCCACTGAGCGCAGTCCCTCCAGGACCTGGGCTGAGCAAGTTTCTTCCACTCTCTCCCTTTCCTCCTCCTCACCCCCATGCCTGCCCCCAAACCCCGGCAGGGCGCAGGTGTCCAACCCAGCCGGGACCCCCTCCTCGAATCCAGGTGTTCCGGCTCCCAGACCCCAATTGAGCTGGGGTCGCCCTCCTGCCGGGGACCCCGCCCTGCGTCCTCCATTCATTCAGTCCCGGCCTCGAGGGTTTCTCAATGGGAAGAGGGCGGAGCTCCGGGGGGCGGATCGGGGCGGGGCGAGCGGGATCTGGCCCTCTTGGGGTCTCCCAGAGACCCAGGGCGCGGAACTGGCAGGCGTTACAGAGCGTCAGAGGCTGCAGATGAGCAGCCTTGGAGGAGTCCAAGGCTAGAGACAGGGGCTCTCTAGGCTGGGGCGAAGAGTCGAGCGCGAAGGGGGCTCCAGACCAGGGTGACAGGAGGCGTGCTTCCGAAAAAGAACTTGGCAGGGAGGCCCGTACGACGGCAAACCTCGTGAACCTTGGGAGACACACGCTCAGGATGCGGGGCCCCGCCCTCCTCATCCTCCTCATCTGCTTCAGAGGGCGCGCAGGTACCTCGCGAGGGGAGCGGAGGAATATGGGGTGTGGGGAGGGGTTGCTTGCGGACTGCCGCTTCACTAGGGAGAAGGGGGCTGGGGCTGGGACTCCTGGATCCTGAATGAGGGGGCTCTAGAAGGTGCTAGGCTCAGCCCTGCTGCCCCCTCCATTCTCCTAGGCCCGTCGCCCCATTTCCTGCAACAGCCGGAGGACCTGGTGGTGCTGCTGGGGGAGGAAGCCCGGCTGCCGTGCGCTCTGGGCGCCTACTGGGGGCTGGTCCAGTGGACTAAGAGTGGGCTGGCCCTAGGGGGCCAACGGGACCTGCCAGGTAAGGCTGTTCTCTCCACGCTGGGACGGGCCGGCTAGGAGTGGAGGTCCTAGGCTCGGCTGTATCTGAAGTTTCTATTTTAACATTTTCAAGTTTGGGAAATGGATGGGCTCGGGTAAACATTTAGAACTCCAGATTTTTGAGCTGTTTCTTTGGGGGTGACCCATAGAGTTTGAGAATTATCCTGTTATTGTGAAATAGTACATAGGCCACGTGCGGTGGCTCACACCTGTAATCCCAGCGCTTTGGGAGGCTGAGGCCAGAGGGTCACTTGAAGCCAGGAGTTTGAGACCAGTCTGGGCAACATAGCAAGACCTTATCTCTACTCTGTGTGTGTGTGTGTGTGCGCGCGTGTGTGTATTTTTTTTTTTTTAAACAAATTAGCCGGGTGCGGTGGTGTGCATCTGTAGTCCTAGTCGGGAGGCTGAGGTGGGAGGCTTCCTTGAGCCCAGGAGTTCAAGGCTACATGGTCAAGCCACTGCAGGGTCTCACCATTGCTCATCAAATGGCTCATTACTGTGGCCATGCTAAAGCCACTGCACTCCAGGCAATGGTGAGATCTGTGGAAAGAAAGAGAGAAAGAGAGAGAGAAGGGGAGAAGGGGAGAGAGAGGGAGAGAGAGAGAGAGAGAGAGAGAGAGAGAGAGAGAGAGAGAGAGAGAAAAAACATAAATGCCAAAAAGTACAGTAAACAAATAAAAGACACGCACACAGCCAATACTCAAGTCCACTGCTAGCTCCCCAGAAGCTCCCCAGAAATATTCCTTTCCCCTGTCATAGCACACCTCTCCCTCACTCCAGAAGTAGTATCTAACCTAACTTTTATGGCAATTATTTTCTTGCTTTCCTTTCTGACTTTATTACCCCCAAGTTTGCAGTGACTCTAGGTTAGGAGGAAGTGAGAGCTTCTCTGGGCCCAGTACACAGTTTCTAATAGTGTCTCACCACCAAGGGTGTGGGCCAGTTTTCCAGTGGGGGATGCTAGGGGTTGGAGGCCTGAGGCCAGGATCACAGAACCATGGCATGCTGACCGCATCCTCCCTGACTCCAGGGTGGTCCCGGTACTGGATATCAGGGAACGCAGCCAAAGGCCAGCATGACCTCCATATTAGGCCTGTGGAGCTAGAGGATGAAGCATCATATGAATGTCAGGCTACCCAAGCAGGCCTCCGCTCAAGACCAGCCCAACTGCACGTGCTGGGTAAGGACCTCGAGCACTTGTCCCCTGGGAGCCCAAGGGGGCAGCCAGTACTAGCTGGGAGTATCAGACCCAGGGAGCCCATGGGAGTGGTCAATTGGAGCTGAGAAGATCAGGATCCATCTCTGACCCCAAATCCACCTTGCAGTTCCCCCAGAAGCCCCGCAGGTGCTGGGCGGCCCCTCTGTGTCTCTGGTTGCTGGAATTCCTGTGAACCTGACATGTCGGAGCCATGGGAATGCCCGTCCTACCCCTGAATTGCTGTGGTTCCGAGATGGGGTCCGGTTAGATGGAATCACCTTCCATCAGGTCAGGTCCAAATTCCTGTGCTAGCCTTTGCCCATTCAGGGAAACTTGGGGTCCACTCTGACCACAGGCTCATCCAGAGGAGAAGAAGACATGGGAGGGCAGGGGTTCAAGGGTTTGGACTTTTGGAATATGATACAGGGGAAAGATTCTAGGGCCAGACCACCTGGGTTCAAATCATGGCTCAGCCACTTGCTAGATCATTGATCTATTAAGTTAGTTAACCTCTCTGTGCCTCAGTTGCCTTATCTATACAATCGGGATAATAACAGCATGCATGTCATAGGGTATTGTGAGAATTAAATAAATTCCCATAAATGCCCAGAAGAGTGCCCAACACATAGTGAGCACTATATAAGTAAGGCAAGTTTGTCCAACCTGTGGCCCATGGGTCTGGACTCCCACATGTGGCCCAACACAAATTGGTAAGCTTTCTTAAAACGTTATGAGACTTTTTGTAATTTTTTAGCTCATCAGATATCATTAGTGTTAGTATGTGTGGCCCAAGACAATTCTTCTTCCAATGTGGTTCAGGGAAGCCAAGAGATTGGACACCCCTGATATAAGGGGTAGATGGTATCACTATTGTTCTCCGTCCCTCCAGACGCTGCTGAAGGAAGGGACCCCTGAGGCAGTGGAGAGCACCTTAACCCTGACTCCTTCCAGCCATGATGATGGAGCCACCTTGGTCTGCCGGGCCTGGAGCCAGGCCCTGCCCGCGGGGAGGGACACAGCTATCACACTGAGCCTGCAGTGTGAGTGCAGCCGGCCCTGGGAAAGACGGGTGTGGGGCCCTGACTCCTGGGTATGAGGAAGGAGGGGACTGTGGTCCCTGGGGAACCAGGAAACTGGAGCCAGGACTCCTGGATCTAAAAGAGCAGGAGAGGACCAAGTATGGTGGCTCATGCCTGTATTCCCAGCACTTTGAAAGGCCACAGTGGGCGGATCACCTGAGGTCGGGAGTTTGAGACCAGTCTGGCTAATATGTTGAAATCCCATCTCTACTAAAAATACAAAAATTAGCTGGGCGAGGTAGCACATGCCTGTAATCCTAGCTACGTGGGAGGCTGAGGCAGGAGAATCACTTGTACCTGGGAAGCAGAGGTTGCAGTGAGCCAAGATAGTGCCACTGCACTTCAGCCTTGGTGACAGAGTGAGACTCTGAGCAGGAGAGGACAGATGGCTGGGGTCCCTGGAGAAAGAGGAAGCTGGGCCTGGACTCCCACATCTGGGAGAGTAGGAGAGGACAGAAGGCTGGCACATTGGGGTACCTGGAGGAACTTGGAACTGAAAGCCTAGACTCCTGGCTCAAAGGGAGAAGAGGACTAGGGGCCCAGACTCCTGGGGTGGAGGAACTAGGGACTGGACCCCTAGGCCAGTGACAGAGGTGTTCCTGGTCCTGACCATCGTTCCACCCTCACAGACCCCCCAGAGGTGACTCTGTCTGCTGAGCCACACACTGTACAGGAGGGAGAGAAGGTCACTTTCCTGTGCCATGCCACAGCCCAGCCTCCTGTCACAGGCTACAGGTGAGGACGAAGACCACCTCTGCCCAGCCCCAAGATGAGCTTGGGAAGGGCTGGGACCAGAGTAGGTGTGCCAGAGAGCAGGGACAACACTAACTGCACCACCACTTCCTCAGGTGGGCAAAAGGGGGCTCCCCGGTGCTCGGGGCCCGCGGGCCAAGGTTGGAGGTCGTGGCAGATGCCTCGTTCCTAACTGAGCCAGTTTCCTGCGAGGTCAGCAACGCCGTGGGTAGCGCCAACCGCACCACTGCGCTGGATGTGCTGTGTGAGCGTGGGCAGGGCTGTGGGTGTGATCAAATGTGGGCGTGACTTTCAGGGCTGTTGGGGCGGCACCTGGAGGGGCGGGGCCGGGAGAGTGGGCGTGGATTATTAGGAGGAGGAGGAGCGTGTGAACTTGGGGCTTATTCTTGCGCCCTAGAGGGTGTCGTGTTTCTGTGGGGCTGATCCTGGGTCAGGGGCTGCATTCCGCCCTGGCCATGTGACCCCTCGTCTCCCTCGTCCAGTTGGGCCGATTCTACAGGCAAAGCCGGAGCCCGTGTCCGTGGACGTGGGGGAAGACGCTTCCTTCATCTGTGCCTGGCGCGGGAACCCGCTTCCACGCGTAACCTGGACCCGCCGCGGTGGCGCGGAGGTGCAACCCTAAATCTGAGGCAGTAGCTGGCGGGGAACCGGGTTTCCTTGCAAATCCGGCTTCTGACGCACCTTCCCTGTCGCAGATGCTGGGCTCTGGACCCACGCTGCGCCTTCGGTCGGTGGGGCCCGAGGACGCAGGCGACTATGTGTGCAGGGCTGAGCCTGGGCTCTCGGGCCTGGGGGGCGGCGCCGCGGAGGCTCGCCTGACCGTCAACGGTGAGAAGGCGGGGCTTCCTAGAGCACCTGGCGGGCCCTCGGATTGGGAGTGAACAGGGGGGCACCAGGCCTAATGCAGTGGGAGTGGCCTGGAAAGAGCTTTATACCAAGCGGGGCATGGAGACTGGACCTAACGAAGGCGAGGCTTTTAGGGGAATCTGAGTTTGGAAACGGCGTGGCCTGATTGGATGAGAGTGCCTTGGCCTGGCCCGGCTTTGTTATAGTCTTTGGGGCAAGACGTCTCCTGAGTGACCCATTGTCTCCATCCCAGCTCCCCCAGTAGTGACGGCCCTACACTCTGCGCCTGCCTTCCTGAGGGGCCCCGCCCGCCTCCAGTGTCTGGTTTTCGCCTCTCCCCCGCCAGACGCTGTGGTAAGGAAAAAATGTCACTCCACTCGTGACCCATCCAGCCGTGATCCCTGACCTCCCACCTGGCCCCCTGAAACTGCTGTGACCGTCTCTGACTTCCCAGACATCATCACTCCCCCTTCTCCCCCACTCCTCAGTCTCCTCAGTGTCCTTCCTCTTTTGTGCCCCCAGGTCTGGTCTTGGGATGAGGGTTTCCTGGAGGCAGGGTCTCGGGGCCGCTTCCTGGTGGAGACATTCCCTGCCCCGGAGGGCCATGAGGGACAGGGTCCGGGCCTGATCTCTGTGCTACACATTTCGGGGACGCAGGAGTCTGACTTTAGCAGGAGCTTTAACTGCAGTGCCCGGAACCGACTGGGAGAGGGAGGTGCCAGGGCCAGCCTAGGCCGTAGAGGTGAGACTCCAGCCTGAAGACCCCAAACTTGGAGAGTCTAAACCCCACAAATACAGGAATTCCCCCAACCGAGGGCTGCCAAACCTCAGACCCTCAAATGCAGAGACCTCCAAACCTTGGAAGTCTCAAAACTGTGGACTCATGGATTTCCAGGACCCCGCAACCACAAATGCCTTCACATTTGGAATCCTAAACTGAGAGACCCCTCACACTGAGGGGCCCCAAAAAAGGAACCTCCAACGATTGCAAAGCAAATTGCAAAGTAAAGGACCCTCAAACTCTGAGACTCCCTAAAGCCAGAGAATTCAAACTCACATACTTGCAAAATTCAAAGACCCAGATTCAAGGGTCTTTGACTCTCCAAATGTGAGAAATTTTCAACCCAGGGATCCCAAACTCAATCCCTGAGCCCCCGTTTCCTGGTTCCCCCTCAGCCTTCTCAGGATGTCCCCTCTGCTCCCTGCAGACTTGCTACCCACTGTGCGGATAGTGGCCGGAGTAGCCGCTGCCACCACGACTCTCCTTATGGTCATCACTGGGGTGGCCCTCTGCTGCTGGCGCCACGGCAAGGGTCAGTGCCTGAGCTCCGCCCCTGCTCCTCAGTCCCCAACCCCACACACACCCTAACCCCACACACCCAGTGACCTGACCTGGCCTTGGGCGCTGGCTGCAGTCCTGTAGGTCACCTTCAGGTTTCCACCCCGGAACCGGGCTTAGCTCTCCTCAAGCCCTAACTCGACCTTCCCAGGGTCACGCTCCTCGGCCTGGGAAGGATTCTCATTGGTTCCCAACAGCCCCACCCGATCCGCCTCGTTGGTTCCCAGTCCTCTCTCTTCCCGCTTATTGGTCTGCACACACCGTCACCCCGCCCATCACTAACTCCGCCCCTCGCTGTTCGTCAGCCTCCGCCTCTTTCCCGGAGCAAAAGAACCTGATGCGAATCCCAGGCAGCAGCGACGGCTCCAGTTCGCGAGGACCCGAGGAAGAGGAGACGGGCAGCGGCGAGGACCGGGTAGGATGCCAGGGTCCCCAGACACTACTGTGCCTCCAGACCCAAGTAATAGCCCAGTCCCAAAAGGGTCCCCAAACTCAAATGGGGCTCTAAGGCTGGGCGTGGTGGCTGACGCCTGTAATACCATTTTGGGAGGCGGAGACACTAGGATCACTTAAGGCCAGGAATTAGAAGCCGGCCTGGGCAGCATAGTGGGACTCCATCTCTACAAAAATACAAAATAAAATAAAAAATGAACCGGGTATGGTGGCACACGCCTATAGTCCCAGCTACTCAGGACACCGAAGTGGGCCTGGAGAGGCAGCAAGGAGCTATGATTGCACCATACACTCCAGCCTGGGCGACAGAGCAAGACCCCGTCTCTATGAATTTTTGTTGTTTTATTTTTTGGTTTTTTGACAGAGTCTCACTCTATCACCCAGGCTGGAGTGCAGTGGCACAATCTCGGCTCACTGCAACCTCCACCTCCCTGGTTCAAGCGATTCTCCTGCCTCAGCCTTCCAAGTAGCTGGGATTACAGGCACCTGCCACCACACCCAGCTGATTTTGTATTTTTAGTAGAGATGGAGTTTCCCCATGTTAGCCAGGCTGGTCTCGAACTTCTGACCTCAGGTGATCCACCCACCTCGACCTCCCAAAGAGCTGGTATTACAGGCATGAGCCACCATGCCCAGCCTGAGGGCTCTAGTCTTAACAATGACCTGAAACCCAAATGTCACCCAAGTCCATTCCCCTGACCCAGTTGTTCCCTAGGCCTAGTATATCCCCACAACCCCCTTTTTTTTTTTTGAGACAGAGTCTTGCTCTGTCATCCAAGCTGGAATGCAGTTGTACGATCCTGACTCACTGCAACCTCCACCTCCCAGTTCAAGTGAGTCTTGTTCCTCAGCTTCCTGAGTAGCTGGAATTACAAGCACCCACCACCTGTAACAATGCCTGGCTAATTGTTGCATTTTTAGTAGAGACGGGGTTTTGCCATGTTGACCAAGCTGGTTTCGAACTTCTGGCCTCAACTGATCCTCCCACCTCGGCCTCCCAAAGTGCTGGGATTACAGGCATGAGCCACTGCACTAGCCTCCCACGACCCTTTTATTGTTCTGAGTGCAGTCCCCAGCTCTGGTGCTCTTACTGTCTCCTGCCTGGCCTCCACTGGCTGGCCGAAGGTCCTTGGAGTCTGGCATTGGGGTGGGGGGATCCTCTGATTATTTCCTCTCACTAAGTTCCCTACCTCAGGGCCCCATTGTGCACACTGACCACAGTGATCTGGTTCTGGAGGAGGAAGGGGCTCTGCAGACCAAGGTGAGTGTTGGGAGGGGTGGGGCTCCCTCCTCTGTATCTCCATCTCTCTCCCACGCCTGTCCCCTCTGTTTTCCTTCTGTTACCCCCAGAACTGGGACCCAGCTCCTCATCCCCCTCCTCCTACCCCCTGGGCCATCTTACCCAGCTCCCAGCTTCAGTTTGCCTATCTGTGGACTCTGCTCACCCATCTGTCCCAGCCCCAGCCTCTGCCCGGAGCCCAGACTGGGGCTCGCTCTGCCTGTGCTCTCCTCATCACTGTCAAGCCCCTTTCAGCCACCAGGTCCTACACTGGCCCCACATCTTCCCAAACCTGTCCTTCCTCTGGGGTCCTATCAGGACAGCCACATTGACCTTAGCCCATCTCCAGGCCACAGCACTCCTCTCTCTCCTCTGCACATGCCATGTAACTAGCACATGCCATCATTTTTCTCTTTTTTTCTGAGATGGAGTCTTGCTCTGTTGCCCAGGCTAGAGTGCAGTGGCACAGTCTCAGCTCACTGCAACCTCCACCTCCTGGGTTCAAACCATTTTCCTGCCTCAGCCTCCCAAGTAACTGGCTAATTTTTTTTTTTTTTTTTGGTATTTTTGGTAGAGATGGGGTTTTACCATGTTGGCCAGGCTGGTCTCGAACTTCTGAGGTCAGATGATCCGCCTGCCTCAGCCTCCCAAATTGCTGTGATCACAGGCATGAGCCACCACGCCCGACCAACATGCCATTCTCTTAGCCCGAAACACTCCTACCTTCCTTTCCGTGTCTACCTAATTCCCTCCTTTATTCCTCCAGTCTCAGCTCAAACATTTCTTGCCCTAGAAAGCCCATGCTTCTGTCATGACAGCCCGATCATTCTGCCTGTGTTCTGCCCATCACAGCCATGACCAGTCTGACCTGGGCTTCCCTATCCCACCCACTATGCTAAGGGCACCCCGATCACAGCCCCCGTCACTGCCTATGCCTTTCCCAGGCACAACCCTGACCCCTCTGGGTGCTGTCTCATGGTTTGTCATTTTTCCCTTGGTGTGGGATCTCTGTGAGGACAGGGTCCACTTCTATCCTAGTGACATGTCTTGTAGCAGCAACACAGGGTGTGACACTGAATCAAAGCCTAGGGGCTGCTGGGCAGGCAAGTGCCTCTGTCCTGTTCCCTCTGCACCTTCCACACCGACACCCCCTCAGGCAGGCCTGTATCCCTCCGTCTCTGCCTTTCTCTGCCTATATCCTCTCCCTTTGCCTCTTGTCACTGTTCCTCCATCTCACTTTCTGTCTCTCCCAGTCCTTGTGTGTCTCTTTTTGTCTCTCTCAAGTTCTGGTCTATTTCAGTGTGTCTCTCCATCAGTGACCCTTCCCCCCGCCACCACCCTGAACCCTCACACACCTAACTGAGTCCCATTTGTCCCCTCAGGACCCAACTAACGGTTACTACAAGGTCCGAGGAGTCAGTGTGAGCCTGAGTCTTGGCGAAGCCCCTGGAAGAGGCCTCTTCCTGCCACCCACTTCCCCCCTTCGGCCCCCAGGGACCCCTACCTTCTATGACTTCAACCCACACCTGGGCATAGTTCCCCCCTGCAGACTGTACAGAGCCCAGGCAGGCTACCTCACCACACCCCACCCTCGGGCTTTCACCAGCTACATCAAACCCACAACCTTTGGACCCCCAGATCTGGCCCCCGGGACTCCCCACTTCCCATATGCTGCCTTCCCCACACCTAGCCACCCGCGCCTCCAGACTCATGTGTGACATCTCTGCAATGGAAGAGTCCTGGGATCTCCAACTTGCCATAACGAAGTGTCCTGATTTCTGAGGAGCCAGGACAAGTTGGCAATCTTACTCCTCTAAAACTGAACACTGCGGGGAGGGAAGGATCATGACAATTGCCAGGAGCATTGGGGATAGTCAGCTCAGCCAAAGGGGATGCCCCAAGTGGGAGCAACATGGCCGCCCAACATGCCCACCTATTCCCTGGTGTAAAAGAGATTCCAGATAGCAGGTAGGCCCTTTGACTAGAGATAGGGACAGGGCAGCAGGTGTTGGGAGTTTGGGGCAGGGATGGGAGTTGTTTCTGGCCACTGAAAGAAGATCTTTCAAGATGACCACCTGCATTGAGAAGAAAGGTAGCATAGGATAGATGAAGATGAAGAGCATACCAGGCCCCACCCTGGCTCTCCCTGATGGGAAGTTTGCTCGGCCAATGGAAGTGCAGCCAAGATGGCCATATACTCCCTAGGAACCAAAGATGGCTACCATCTTGATTCCACTTTCCTTAAAGACTTAGAAAAGAGTGCGTGCCTGTAATCCCAGCTACTCAGGAGGCTGAGGCAGGAGAATCCTTGAACCTAGGAGGTGGAGGTTGCAGTGAGCCAAGATTGTGCCATTGCACTCCAGCCTGGGCAATAAGATTGAAACTCCATCTCAAAAAAAAAAAGACTTAGAAAGACTTGGACCCAAGGAGTGGGGATATGGTGAGAATTATCACTGTGGGGGCAAAGGGGAATCTCTAGATAAAAATATTTATGTTTAATAATAAAGAAAAATCAAAAAGGCAAATGTGTCTTAGGGAGTCTACTGGCATTATTACCCTCCATCAAGGAAGGGTCCATTAGACCTGTCCCAAGGTCCCTCCTCTACCCTAGCCTATGAGGTGGCTGTAGGAGTAAAACTGTGAGCCACCTGTCAGTCTCTTGCTACCTGCAAACTGCTCTAGGCTTTTTTTTTCTTCTTGAGACAAGGTCTGGCTCTATGACCTAGGCTGGAGTACACTGGCATAATCTCAGCTCACTGCTACCTCTGCATCCTGGGCTCAAGCCATCCTTCCACCTCAGCCTCCCAAGTAGCTGGGACTACAGGTGCATGCCACCACATCCGGCTATTTTTTGTATTTGTTTGTAGAGACAGGGTTTCACCATATTGGCCAGGCTAGTCTTGAACTTGTGAGCTCAAGTGATCAGCCTGTCTCAGCTTCCCAAAGTGCTGGATTACAGGCACCACGCCTGGTCTAGGCTCTTTTATTTTATTATTATTATTTTTTGAGACGGAGTCTCAGTCTGTCACCCAGGCTAGAGTGCAGTGGTGTGATCTTGCCTCAAAACAACTTCCACCTCCCATGCTTCAAGTGATTCTTCTGTCTCAGCCTCCCAATAGCTGGGATTACAGGCACCCGCCACCCCGCCTGGCTAATTTTTGTATTTTTAGTAGAGATGGAGTTTCACCATGTTGGCCAGGCTGATCTCAAACTCCTGACCTCAAGTGGATAGGCCCAGTTAGGCCTCCCAAAGTGCTGAAATTACAGGCCAGAGCCAGTGTGCCTGGCCATGGGCTCTTTTAATATACATCTTCACACACACACACACACACACACACACGTTGCAAACAGAAACAGACATACACATGGGCATGTATGCACAGACACACAAACAGATGTCCACACAGTTGTACACATGTGACAGGGCTGACCCAGGGGTCCTGGAGAAGACAGAATACTACACTCTCATTAGAGGAGGCAAACAAGTGAGTCCTGAAGCGGGGCAGGGAAGGGGAGACTATGGATAGGAAAATGACAAT